AGAAGTCGTGGGACCTGCAGGACAATTCAGGTTGGATATCAGGGAAGATTTCCTCATGGAAAGGGTGGTCAGGCCTTGGAAGGGGCTGCCCAGGCCGTGGTGGAATCCCCACCCCTGGAAGTGTTCAGACAAGGCGTGGATGTGGCACTTGGGGACAGGGGCTGGTCTTTGCAGGGCTGGGTTAACTCTGGGTCTCGATGACCTCAGAGGCCTTTTCCAACCTTCATGATTCCATGATCCTCACATCTGAGGGGAATTTGGTGCTCTTGGTGACTGGTCCAGGAGTTAGAAGTTGTTAGAAGTTGTAGAAGTTGTTAGAAGTTGTTAGAAATTGTTAGAAGTTAGAAGTTGTTAGAAACTGCTCCTTTGTGTTCCACGGGCAGCAAGTGTGGATGTGGCGCCTGAGGACACGATCCAGTGGCAGTGCTGCTTCAGTTGGTGCCCTTGAACACTTTCCCAAGCCGGCTAATCCCAGGATTCCGTGATTTCCCTGCAGGTGGACGCCAGGAACATCGACGGCAGCACCCCCCTGTGCGACGCCTGTGCCTCGGGGAGCATCGAGTGTGTCAAGGTGCTGCTGTCCCACGGTGCCAAGGTGAACCCCCCCCTCTACACGGCCTCCCCTCTCCATGAAGCCTGCATGAATGGTAAATCCATGGAGATTCCTCTCTCCAGGCTTATTTGGGGCTTGGGGGACCAAAAAAAGAAGCATCATGGAGGACCTTCATTTGACCACGAGTTGTTGTTGTTCCAACCCCTCCTGCTGGGGGTTGTTGGGTGGGAACAAGTGCCCGGGATTGTTGGGAATGCTGCTGCTCCCTGTGCTGCTCCTTTGTCCTTCTCCCAGCCTTTTCCAGCTGGGGGGGGGGGTCTGTCCAGGGAATAAGGGAAAACAGCAGAGGCCAAAATGATGTTTGGGACAAACCCGGCTCCTCTGTGCTTCCCTTGGCCTCTGCTTGATCCTTTTTGGGATATTTGGATCAGAGGAGGATTTAACCATAGGATCATGGAATCCCAGGATGGTTTGGGCTGGAAAGGACCTTAAAGTCCATCCATTCCCACCCCTGCCATGGGCAGGGACACCTTCCGCTATCCCAGATTGCTCCAGCCTGGCCTTGGACACTTCCAGGGATCCAGGAGCAGCCACAGCTTCTCTGGGAGATCCATTCCAGCCCCTCCCCACCCTCCCAGGCAAGAATTTACTAATTACCTTTACTAATTTAATTATAATTCATCCTTCAATCTTCCACCTGCACAGACAGGGCAGCAGGAAAACCTGGATGTGGGAGCAGCAATGTCCACGTTGGATAATTGTGGCCAAATCTCTTCCTCATTCACCATTTTGTGCCTCACTTTCCCCTCAGGAAAATGTAATTCTTCCTGTTTCATATTTTTGTGATCTGGACACAGTTTTCCTTCAATTCTGGAGCATTTTGGACAATCAGTTGGTTGTTAAATCCACACCTGGGAGCTCCTGTGGAGCTTTTCCTCGTTAAGCCTTTTCCCGAGGCTTGGTGATAATTCCCTGCTTTTTGTTAAGCTGAATTATTACCACTGGAAAAAACAAAGCTGGAATGGCCTGGAAGGTGATCAAACCCACCCAGGGCGGGATCAGCAGCACAGCAGCTCCAGAAACAACAGGGGATTTGGTGCAAATCCTTGGATTTGGGGTCGTTTGACCTGATTCCCTGTTGGCTCCAGCCCGACCGCTCCATTCCTTGTGTCCTGCTCGTGTTGTGTTGGCTCACGAGCTTTCCCAGGT